ATGTAAAATGTTTTTTGTTGTGTTGCATTTTCTTCAAATTCAATGTGTCATGTCAAAGAACTTGTCTAGATTATATGACCTACCCATGTCATTTAGGTGATGTCTGTTATGCGCCACTGGCATATTGAAGACTAATCATTGCTATTCACTTTTCATTCCACGAGGATTTACTGAGTCTCTGATTTGAAATGTTCAGATGACTGCACACCGAGCATTCCAGTTCTGTAAGCAATACAAACGAACTACAGAATTTAGGCGGTTGTGTGAAATCATCAGGAACCACCTGGCAAATCTTAACAAGTACCGAGACCAGAGAGACAGGCCTGATCTTACTGCTCCAGAAAGCTTGCAGCTGTATCTGGATACAAGATTTGAGCAACTGAAAGTTGCCACGGAGCTTGAACTTTGGCAGGTCTGGTTGGTGGCTGTTTTCTATAGACCATTTAACATAAATATGATTTTGGACATAAATCATGACTTGATACAAAAAAAAATTGTGACGTTGCTTTCTTGGTTCTTGCAGGAAGCTTTTCGTTCTATTGAGGATATACATGGTTTGATGTGTATGGTTAAGAAAACGCCTAAATCCTCCTTGATGGTTGTTTATTATGCCAAGCTATCAGAAATTTTCTGGATATCATCAAACCATCTTTATCATGCTTATGCATGGCTTAAGCTTTTCTCACTTCAGAAAAGTTTTAATAAGAACTTAAGCCAGAAGGATTTGCAGTTAATAGCATCGTCTGTTGTTTTAGCTGCACTTTCAGTGCCTCCTTATGATAGGTCATATGATGCATCTCATTCGGAGCTTGAACATGAGAAAGAGCGAAGTTTGAGGGTAGCGAGTCTTATTGCATTTGATGTTGAACCCAAAACCGAGAGCAGAGAAGTGGTAAACTAAGTTTTAGCCCAATCTCTGGTTTCATGTTATTATTTATACCCCTTCCGTTCCACAAAGATTGACTTGCTTCCATTTTCACACAAATTCAAAAAAATGTAATTAATGTAGTTAAAAATATAAATTTTCTTACACTTTTTCTATTATACCTCTACATCAGATAATGTTTTAAATAGGAGTAATTTATATTTGTGATAACAAGGCACGCTAGAAAACTGAAAAATCATCTATATTCTCAACAAGGAAAGTGGTCCATAATTTGGGACGGACAAAAAAAGAAAGTAAGCCTATCATTATGGGACGGAGGTAGTACTATATTTCATTGGTAGCTGATCGTTTTTTTAACTCATTTCAGCTTTCTCGGACATTGCTTCTCTCGGACTTGGTAAGTGAGTTGCTGAATTGATTTATAACCCTTGCAATTACTTGATTTTATACTTTATAGTTTGTTGTCTCTATGCATCCTTGGATTTTAACGAAATCTCTCTCTCTCTTTGCCTTCGCCCTTTTGATTGCAAGGACTTAAGTTTTATCTGTGACATGAGGGAGACTCATGTTTCTGCATTTTTTTTTTT